ATCTTCACAAGATACAGATTACAGAAAAGGCAACAAGTGGAGATATAAAAGCAGTGGCTGAATTCCCAGCAACATTAAGAAAAATAATTGAAAGAGGAAACTATTCCCCAGAATTAGTTTTAATTTCAATAAAACAGGCCTATTTTGGAAAAGAATACCAAAACATACATTTCTATCCCATGAAGAAAAACATGTGACTGGATTTAAAGCTGCGAAAGATGCTTAACACTTCTGGGTGCTAACACAAATGGAGACTTCAATACAAATTAAAGCCACTTTTTGTTTATCATTCCAAAAACTCAAGAGCAATGAAAGGAATATTAAAATCAACTTTACTTTAGGAGTCTAATAAAAAATCATAGATAACTATGAAAATTTTCCAGAATTGGTTCACTGAACATTTTTGCCCATCTGTTAAATGATATTGTGAAATAAAATATGTTGTCGTTGTTGATATGAAAACAAAATGTGAAACAAACAGGTTTAGATGACATAAATGTAGGAAGATCTCAAATTTTGCAACAAACAGCAGAAAGTCTCTAACGATGAGCTCAGGGAATTAGCAGATCAAGAACACAAAAATATTAAAAATAACTATTCTGAAGAAGACCAAAAAGAATTTTCAATGGCATTTCTACAAAACCAGTTTAGCTTCCATAACAGAAATTATGGGCTTAATGAAGTAGATTTTGATAGGAGTTCAAAGGCAAGACATGATGTCATGAATGCCTTGTCCCCTTATCAACAACTTCTTATGGAGTGGAAAAGAAAAATGCAAATTACATTAAATACCTTCTTGATAAAAAACAGAAAATTGGAAATGCAGAAATATCTGATCTAAAATATCAATGGTGACTTGGAATTTTACTTATTTTTATATATTCATTTCTTATGTTGTAAGAAATAACTTTTTATTTTGTATTGTTATAAAAAAAAATATTTATTGAACTTAAGTAACAAAATACTTGAATAATTTTTATTTTATACACAACGCCATTATTTACATGATGAGACGACCTCGTTTAACGCTATTTCACGCTCTACTTTGATGGAATGTAACTTCCGCATTAAGTGAGGTTTTACTATATTGTATATATTTAGAACTTCTAAACAGGAGACATTAAAAATAACTACAAGTAGTCCTTCTACAACACAGCATCCTGTAACACGCTTTCGCTATAACACGATTCATAAATTGCGAGAACCCTCCTACAACACGTTTTTTTTTTTTTTTTATAATACGGTTTCTCTCTAACATGATAAAAAAATTGCCCAAGCAACGGAAAGAAGTTTAACGAACTCTCCACAAAGATTTTCCATATTGAGCAAAGCACCCATATAGTAATTTAACACATAAGAATCCTTGTTTTTAAGTTTTGCCAGTTGTCTTCCAAGATGCAGTACCCACAAAAACAAATGTCCTCAAGGAGATGAGCCACATGGTGGTGAGCAACCACTGAATTCTTAACCTGTAATGGAGGAAAATCGTTTCTTTGCATGAAATTCAAAGCCCAATAACACAACAAAAACAATACTCATGTCTCAAGAGAACACAATCACCAGATAACAATGAAGAAACCTCACTATCGCAGAAGGTGAACAACATGAGGTCACAATAAGTGCTCTAAAACGCACAACCTGTACATTTGGCTTCCAAAATTCGAATCCTCATCTTTGTGGCCTGAAAACAAAAGTATCTCATGCTGCTGGTCGGCAGTCTGCGTCTAGTCACAGAGTGTTAAAGAATAACTTTTTCACTTTTAAGACATTAAGTTTCAGACCCAAAACATGTTCAATAAAGGTAAAGACACAACGTTTAAGAGGTAATTTATTTCTTTAGAAGTAAAGACACAAATTTTTGGACCATCTTTTAAAAGGAGAAAAGTCATCTCACATTGGGAAAAGTTTTAATCTGAATGAAGTAACAGTCCGAACCTATTAAGAAAAATGAAAAAGAAATTAAGTGTAGTTCCTGCAGGATCTTCGACATCCGCAAAACGTGCAGTTTGCCTCTCGAGCGCCAATAATTGAGAAGATGGAAAAGGCACTCAGCATTTGGATTGATGACAGCTGTCAAAAATTAATTCTGTTGGGTGCTAATATCATTAAACAAAAAGCACTCAAAATTTTCAAGCACCTTAAAGAACATGGAGAATCCTCTGTCAACCCAGATTTTGTAACAAGTTGGTTCATAAATTTCAAAAAGCGTTTTGCAATTCATAGCATAAGAATTTAAGGAGAATCTGCATCGGCTGATTGTGAAGCTGTTAGGATGTTGATTATGAATCTAAAGATCGGCTTTTAAATTGTTTTGTTCCAGACACTGAACGCTACTTAAGGCAGAAAAATTTGAACTTCAAGGTGCTATTACTATTAGATAATGCTCCACGTCACCCATAAGATTTGAATCATCCCAACTTCAAAATACTTTTCCTACCACCTACTTTGTTACTCCAACCATTAGATCAAGGTATTATTTATACCTTTAAAAGATATTACATAAGAAGAGCATTACAGTGAATTTTAGATGTAACCGATTCAAAATCAATTAATGTAATAGAAGCTTGGAAGACATACAGGACAGCACTGTATCAACATGGTATCTTTGTCTCTGAAAGAACCGAAAGCATCAACATTAAATGCATGTTAGGAAGATGAAATAGCTCTCTTCAATTGAAATATAAAATGTGCGGTAATCGTCAAAGAGTGAAATTGGTGGTAAAGAACTTGCTAAAATCTACCACCAAGATGAAGGTTACCTAAAAATACCACCAAGATGAAGGTTTTTGTCGAGGATGTTGTTCAGATGGCTGTTGAGGACGTTCAAGAATTATTTGCGGAAGCAGATTTGATTGAAATGGCATCTGAAGCTGTAAATCAAATCGATTCTGAGGACACTAGCACTGATGAAGACTGTAAAGTTAATAATTTAATATTAAAAAAAATTAAAAGAAGACCTTGGTTGAAAATTTCGAATCACTTTCTTGACTGCAGACCCTTAAGCTGAAATAAGGCGAAAATTCAAATGGGAGTTGCAAAACTGTCTAGCTCCATATCAAGAAATTTACATTGAGCTGGTCAGAACTAGTAAGCAAAGTAAAATTACAGATTTTTTAAAGAGGGCTGCCAGAATTTTAAATGAAGAAAAGAAATTCTGAAAGTGAAAACGATTTCATTCCACTGAAAAAACGCTCTCGGTTGATTATACTGACAGCGAAGAAATTTGTTAAATAAAGTTGTGTTAATTTAAAATATGTAATATTTTTTTGTTTTGTGTTGTACATACATATATATGTTTCATAAAAATTAAGTTGGTTATGTAGAATTAAAAAAATATTTTTTTAATAAATTTTTGGAATGTAACCCCCCTTTTTATACTGGCTCCGGGTCTTATACAACATGGTTTCCACAACATGGCATTTTCTATGAACCTATCTACCGTGTTATACAAGGATTACCTGCACTTCCTTCAAGAATGCGCACATTAAACATTATGCATTAAGAAAGGCCATCAGAAGAAATTAACAAAAAATAAATCCATTAACTAATAAAACAATTTAAAATTAAAATTCAATAAAATGTATAGAGATAAATAAAAACTGAATTAAATTTATAATAAATAGTTAAATGGTACAAAAAATACCAGACATCATCTTATAAGTATCACTTATTGTAACAGAGAGATTACTAGGAAGAGTAGGGAGTATGGAAGAAAATTATCATTGAGGAATATAGGCTTGAAAAGAAAAAGAGATGATTCCAACATTTTCCATCCTGACCATGATATCCGATATAATTTTAGCTGTCAAGCAGAATGTGATAGAAGAAAAATTATTCCCAATTCCAAGGAGCGACACATACTGAGGGGAAAACATAAGGTTCTGTACTCCATCACCTTTAATATTTGGCTATATCATTCTGAAAAGTCTGTAGCAGCTCTTTGCCATAAGAAACCACTAGCACTGGACACGTCTGGGACATTTATCTTAACATTTCACTACTTCAATACATGTGACACCCGTTGATTTAGGAACATAAGTAACAGCTTTTTTTACATTTTGTTACAAACCGTGAGTAAAACTGACATTACTCAATTGGTGGATAACAATGGCATGTAAAAGTAATTATAATTTACTTACAAATGCAAAGATTTGGAATTTATAAATAAATTTTTACACTACTCTAATTATAAATTTTTTATACTATTCTGGTATGTCCACAGCTAATTCTTTTAATATGACAGAATTCTAACGTTTAAATACATTAAAAAACTGCTTCGAATGGTTTAAAAATATAAAATTAGAAGTTGAATTAAAATTTAAACAAAATAGCATTTGGCTTTTATAACATACATTACATCTTTTATGAAGAAAGCTGATATTTTGATTGTACTGCACTAATTTCTTTATGTTTGAGAAAAACCATGCGATTTACAGTCATTTTTTCCATCATGGGCAACTGAAAAAGTCTTTGTTCCATACAGTGCATTGTGCATGACTTGGAGCTCTTTAGCTTTTTATTTTGAAGGAGCATAATTCACAGTCTTTAATTATTTCCAGTTTAGCTACAACTAAGAACAAACACAGGCTCTTTTTTTTTTTTTTTTTTTTTTTTTTTTTTTTTTTTTTTCTCATAATCTAAAAGGAATGGAGCAGAACAGTCAGCAGGGTAAGCAAGCTCTTTGCTGTTAGGTGATTGGACTGGAAAAATTAATGGTCAAAGTTTGCAGATCTATGATTGGCTACAACTTAAAAACCAGCAATATTACTACCCATATGATACATTTTTCAAGTCATGATCATTTTATTAATCATCAAACAAATAAGTTTTGCTCCGTTTTCATTCCATTTCCCTTGCCATCTTTTGTTAAAATCCAGTTTTTTCCAGACTTTCCGTAGCTCATAAACTTTAAGGAATTTCCATTACAACTACAGAGAATTTGTAGCAGTTAATGTATAAATTACACAAATATATAAATTACACAAGAATTCAAAACTTACATTCACCCGTGGAGAAGCAAAGTCTGCACTCCATATATCAGCAATGATCTTTGTTGGCAGTTGTTTCTCTCTCTCTATCTGCTCTAGATCAAATTTTCCATCTCCAACATTTCGAATAAATTTCATGAACTAAGTAAGAAGGCAAAATTAATGAAATAATAAGAGGATATACTTCAAAGACAATCTGCAAAAGTGATATTCTGAAACATAAATAACACACATATGGTTAAGTACATATATATATGATAATGTTGCAAGCTATCAGTTTGCTGATATCTCTCAGAAGGATCACTCTATATACACAATTAATAATTTATATTAAAAATTAATTACACATGACACAGTAACTCCAAGCAGCTTAAGCAGAAAGCTGATATAAAAAATTCCTCTTTAACGTGCTAGAAATACAACATTCACCAAAACCACTTGCATAGTAACACAGATGAATAACAAATAAAACAGCAAGCATAATAACTCATATGCATCATCTTAACTATATTTATATAGACCAGGGTATGGGTTTGGTATAGCACAAGTTTTTAGAAACTTTGGGGAAAGATCTGTCACCAAGGCCTGTAAAGAGTTTATCTAATGTGTCACTTATGCTTTTTTACATTCTGAGCATTGCCACTGTCAGAGCAATAAAATCAATTCCATTCAAGACACACAGATATAAAAAATATATATGACCACAAGTAAAAAGTTAATAAATAACCAAACGATACAACATTGCAATAAAAAGTATTTAAATATGGATAGATATACAGAATGCCCACTTAAGTCCGGTACCACCAATTTAACTGCAGAATGGCTGTAACAAAAAAGTAATAAAAAAAACAGTAATAAAAAAAGGTATCTAGACATAGTAAAAGTGGCTATGCACTACTAGGTGAAAGCGCTTACAGAACCACTCAATGAAAAACAGTGAAGTTAGCATTCCTATCTCAAAAATCTGATGTGAACATCACGACTTATATGTAAGGAATATTAAATTATACACAATTTTTCTTGTACTTCATTTAAACTTATTTCCTAGAACTTCACCACAGATATATTTCTCATTCAATTTAGCTCTCATTTCGCGACAAGGCAAAAATATATAAAACCTTAAAATAGCTTTATTAAAAATTGAAATAGTGAAAACTATAAAAAAATACAGTTAAAGCAATTAAAAATACAATTTTTACAATTCAAATTAGAGTTTCTATGCAAAAACAGGCAATCAGCCAATGGGCAAGAAGGCAGATTTTTCAATGCACAAAACTGAAAGTTTACTTTTGGTCTCACTCAGCAAAAAGACACTGAAGGTGCAGAAACTGACTTGATTCACTATTCTGCCAAGTTTCAAATGTAAATACACTGGTTACCATAAATTAAGGAAAAAACATGATTACTGAAAAAGTTACATGTAGAATTTTATGAAACTTACCCACAATATACAATACATAGTAAGGTATCAAATAACATAAAAATAAATTACTAGACAATTATGGTAGTATAGAAATTAGCACATGTATAAAATGAACAAATCGAAGGTGTCAGTTTGTTATAGGAAAAGTACCTTCAATATGGAATATGGTCGCCTCTAGAAGCAATACAGCACATACAGCGATGTGTGATGCTTTCAATTATGCGGTCTATTAGTTCCATAGGAAGCAAGAGCCATTGCTCTTGCAAAGCAGTTGCAAGCGCGCCAAGGATCTGAGGGAGCGGATTGAGAGCAACTAGACATCTCTCTAAAGCATCCCAAATGTGCTCGATAGTATTCAAGTTTCCTGTTGAAGATAATCATCTATGATGCGAGCCCTGTGTGGTCTTGGATTGTCGTCCTGTAACAGGAAAGCCTCACCTATTGCCCCGGCACATGGGCGCATATAAGCACCAAGGATGTCATCTCTATAAACCGAAGCATTCACGGTTTCCATTGGAAAGACATGGAGGTCTGTGCGTCCACCCAAAGAGATGCCACTTTAAAAACAGACACTGCCTTTTCTGTATGCATCTCTTTAACGAATGTTTGACAGATGATAATAGGTTCCAGGTACTCTCCATATCAAATAATGCCTACTATCGCTTTCTAGACTAAATCTGGACTCATCTGTAAAGAGAACCATCCTCCACTGATCAGGCGTCTAGTGGACATCATGTCGTGCCTACTGCAAATGGTCCTTCCTATGGCATGACGTAAGCAACACGCAAATGGCTGGTCGTCTCGCACACACATACAGACCACCTTCATGAACCCTTCTACGCACAGTTGACGTTGACACCAACCTTCCGGTGGCTGCAGCAAGGGAGGATCAGAGAAGAGTCGGAGTAGCGGTTCTATTCCTGCGTGTGAATAATGTCAAATATCGGTGATCGGTGCTCGTCGTAGCAGTTGGCCGTCCTTGGCATAACCTCCTAGATGCCAAATCTGTGGTTTGAAATCGCCTCCAAAGTTATGAACCACAGAAGGACTCATATTTAGCCATCTGGCCACTTCTGTTAGACTTTATCCTGCCTCTAGTCTCCCAATGGCTTTCCATCGTAATTCTGCAGGCAAATGATGCCTGGAGGTCATTGTTATGAATTGGCTATCTCAGATTTCTGATGTCACTATCACAGTGCAATATAAGGGCTTGCTCTCAAACATGGACTTTAATTCTCCTCGCAGATGACGTACTCCGAGTGCAGCGCCACTAATTTGCATATTGCAGTTTTACTCAGATACTCTTACTTGGCAACATATTCAAATTTTACACGATATCACTATTCAAATTTTACACGGCTTATTTTTGAAGTAGTTATCGATAATTTTGTGATTTTTCCTTAATTTATGATAATCAGTGTAAATATGGATCCTATGACAAAAAAATTATTAGCATCACTGTCATCATCATCATCATTTTCATCAGAGCAGATTTTGTTCATTATTCACCGTTCACTCTCAACAATGCACTAACTGCGATAGACTAAAGGCCCGTCTACACGAAACGATTTTCTCGGTCAACTTTCTCGTAGAGCAACAATTTTAAGGATGTGGCATGCATCAAAAATCGGTCATGTTCTCTGCCACGATTTCAGAACTGGTGTTCACTGCTCACTAGTGTACGATAAAATCGGTGTCTCTAGTCAATAAGATTGCTTTGAGATATCACGTGCTTTTCTCCTCATTTGGAATAATAAACATGGCTGCATTTCGTTGGAGCGAAACTCAAATTTTTCAACTAATAGATTTCTATAGAGAAAATGTTGTGTTGTGGGACACGAGTAATGTAAATTTTAAAAATAAAAAATTAAGGGATTCTCTTATTTTGGCAAGCTTTGTCTTCTCCATTACTTTATATATTCAAATATTTTCTATTCGGGGTGAAAATTATTTTTACTCCCCCAAGAAAAGTTCTAAAAATTATTAATGCTGCCATGTCACGGGTACTAGATGAAAATATTCAGAAACTACTTGAAACTATGGTTGCACTTATTGAAAAAATTCAGAAAGCAAAATCTCCAGTCGAGAAATTACGGGCCGATTTAAAACAGCGCAGAGACTCATTGACTTTGCAGAAAATGGGAGTTAACCCCTTCGAGCCGGGTAGCGAAAACGCGCGCTTATCACAGAGGCTGGCAGTGTCTTCCGCGAGCGTCTCTCCAGGGCCGGGGGCTTTTTTGCTACTAAGCCTAAATCCATGAAATCTCCGAAGTATCAACCCATTGTTTAATAATGCTCTATAGAGTATTTAAACGGCTTATGCTTTATAAATATTTTTATATATATACTTTAATTACCTTATTTCTTGTTTAAATGCATATTTTACACATTTTATTTTAATTACTCACCATTTTATGACTTTTAACATTATACATCTGAAAACTAAATATATTACTTAAAAATCTCTTTTCGTATGACACACAGTCCTACGTTACATTCCTTGAACTCGTAATAACTCATTTGCCGTTTTGGAGGATTTTTCCGGGAATGTGAACAGACGAAGCATCGTCGTCTCATTTTCTTATCAGTCTCTTCTGAACAAAGTTTTGGAAAATGTCTTTCAGTTAATCTTTCAGAATCAATATCAGAATATCAGAATTTCAGAATCAATATCTGAAATATTTTACGTCATTTCTGCTATTTCATGCTCTGTTAAACATTTTCGACGCTTCGACATTAACAGAACAGAAAAACAGAAAGAATTCACGTCTAACAAGATCTAATTATTTTCTAAAAACTGAACTGTAAACCGAAATACTCAACGCTTTAGCGCATATAAAACTTCTACTTACAATAAACAACTACCACGTGCGAATAAAGTGCGATTTAAAGAGACGTCATAAATCACGCCATTCAGAAACATTTCGTTCCCAGTTTGTTTATATAATCAAAAACACGTGTATGTGAGTCATGCTTCTCTCATTTCGAGTAGAAGGTCTAATCTTACATGTATCTGAAACCATATGGACATACAGTGCCATCTTGTGGCAGAAATTATAGTTTGAAAAACGTTCCAAGGTAGTGGCACAAATACGTGACATTCGGTAGAAAACGCAACAATGCTGTGGCACGCCTGCGTGTCGGCCGGTAGATAAGTGTGTTCGTTGCTGGCACGTATACGTGACAGTCGGCACGAAGGGGTTAATCGGGTGAAGAAATACATAGCTTTTCCGACACCTCCTACATGAGCAATCATAGTTCAGTGGTAAAGAGCAGAGCTAGGTTTTCTCCGTACATCGGGATCGTGAGTTTCGATCTACCACCTTAATTTTGGACTGTCTGCGCCTGGCAAGATCCTTTTTAATTTAGTTTCTCCATCACTAAATTCGAACTGCATGACATAAAAGTCGCGTTTTATTTTTTCGCCTATGGGTGGGGTGTTTATTGAATGTTAACGTCTTTCTTTTTATTTTTCGAATGGCCGTTGGCACCGTGTTTTAGATCTACTGGTGAAAAGAAAGTCACAAGTCACAAACTGAGTTTTGTGTTAATTGAGTTTTACGAAAGCAAGATTACAGCCCAATTTAATACAATATTGCTAAATTTTATTCGCTGATTAACTGACAGAAGTCATATGATCATAGTTTTCAGACTGTATTAGTTATTTAATTACGCTGATATTAGTTTTTTAATGTTCAATAAATATACTACTTAAGACTTTGCACCTTTATGATATTTCTTATTTGAAATTTTTGCACAGAAATTACACTGTTGCTTTAGTAATGTAGTAATCTTTATTCTTTATTACTACTTTTTACTCATATTGGTTTGATATTCATGACATTATTGTCTATTTATTCATTAATAAAGGTTTTGATTACTTATTTTTCCTGAATAGCCCAGTAGTTTCTTTTTCCCAGTAGTTACTTATTTTTTCTGAAACATGGTTATTTTATTATTTCAAGATTTAAGTGCACAAATAGGAGTGCCAGAAAATGAAATTTAAAAATAAATAAATAAAATAGAAAAGGAGTAATCTGTGCACTCAGTACATACAGGAAAAGCTTTTTTTTTTTTTTTTAATTTTGCTGTAAATTAAATTTAGCAAAAAATAAAAATCACGCGGCATCATCCGTAAATACTTTCCGAATTGCACCGTGTCTTCAATACGCAACTCCCAGAGCAGGGTATTACGAAGGCACCATGAATTTTTCCTCGTTTGACACAATTTCTGGTTCAAACGCATTTTCTTTTTTTTCCCCCTCTTTTGTAGCAGTAGCTAAGTTCAAAATTGTAGCTGTATCTATAGTAGCAATTTAAAATAGTCGTCCATCATTTTGACACAGTGTGACAGTGTAAGGGTGGGAACACTTCCTATCACAGTGATTGGCTGAGTGAATTCCTGTACTAACGAGAAAATCGTTCCATGTGGACAGGCGAGCTATCTCAAATATTGTCACCCGGCTAAGTCGGCCGAGAAAATCGCTACGTGTAGACGGACCTTTAGAGATTCTTTAATGCACTCGACGACCAACTCGGCGCTAATCTTCGAGACACTCGCTCAATGACTGACTATCAGCTCGCTAGATGAAGCACACACACACTGCAGACCAGCAGGGTTTATATAGTTTTTGGCTTGTGTTCGACAACATTCTGGGCGAAAACGATAAGAATTCATTCCAGAAAGTTCTCCATCCGTCCATGGCATATTGCCAATTTTGCCGCCAAATGGGCAATTTATTGCCAAATGTGGCAACCCTGCCTTCCCTTGCCATTTTATGGCAACCCTAAACCAGCTTTGCAAGGAAGCTATTTTACCGCGCCTGGACATTTCGTAACAATATTTTGCAATGCATGTTGCAGGGAAGCTTAGTTTTCCATTCTTTTTCTCATGAACAGGAGTGCTATAAAATATCGATGGAAATAGAACTGCTTAATCCTTTTTTTTAGTCAGGATATTTTTCTGTAGTTCCAATATTTAAAAAATAGACAAAAAGGAAGAGGAAAATAAAGATTAAAAATTTGTCCATAATTTTCAAGAACTAAACTTAATTTCAATTACTCATTTGCATCTTGTTTATACCTTTTTCACAATAATATGCAAGTTTCTAAATCCCTAAAACAAATCAGTTTTAGATAATTTTAAACATTTTTAGTTACATGCAATATTATTATAAATATCTTCAGTTATAAGTAGCTTGGCCTAAACATTGTCTAACTGGGAAAAAAGGCAATTTTTCTTGATATCAGTCACTTCTGTTACATGAAATTTTATATCCTTTATCTCTTTCTCAATAACGAATTACTGGAAAAAGTGTTGTTTTTGTTAATTTATCACATAGAAAACTGTTTGGTGGTGCATGCAAAACATGTTTGTAGAATTCTGTTTGGTTTCTGCTAAAAACATCACAGTAAAACCCCCATAGGGAAAAAAAAATAACACAGAAAACAAGACAAATAGCATAGTCATAGAAAACATCATGGCTGGTAGGGATAAAAGGAGAAAACTTAATAGCTAAAAAAACAGAAGAAAAAAGGGGGAATGTATTATCATCGCAGAAATAAACTAGAGACAAAATTTCATAATTTGAAAACACTGCCATACGAAATGTCATGGTATTAAAAAAAAAAAAAAAAAAAAAACAGCTGCAAACGATGAAGTAAGTGACACCAAATTTTAGATTATTTCTTGCGAAAAATGGCTGCCTCAAATTAAATAAGTGAACCTTCTTGTGGACACTAATATCAATTTTCAACACAAGCTTCTCTAAAAAAGACAATTCTACACTATAAGACCAAAATCATCTGGAATTGTGAGCAATTGTTTTAGAAAGGCTTAACCATTTAAATAAAATGATAAGGTGGTTGAAACCTCAGGTAAGACTGTTTAGGTGTGGTGTTGAGAATTTTTTGCTAATGGATGAGTGTTCATCTGCACCAAGCATCTCTAGTGTCAGAACACTCAGAAACAAAAGTCATCATTGAAATAGACAGCTAGCTTACACACCAGATTTAAACCTGATTCAGTACATGTTGGATAACTTAAACCACTGAACTGCAATATGTCTAATGCCTCCCTGGATCCTGCAGGATCTGAAAAGTGCACTTTCAGAAAACTGACAAGAAATTATACAAGACTTGATCATTAGTTTGGTAAAGATATGAGGTTTGTATTTCGGCTAGAGGTAATAATATACCATTTTAAAGAAAGATTTCTTGGAAAACATGCGAGATCATTTTTTTATTATTTTTTAATTTTCTTACACTTGACTTCAAATTCAACATCTACTGGTAAACATAGTAATTTATGTTACTATGTACTAAATATGTATATGTTACTATATAATGTATATAGTAATTTATGTTAAATAATGCTTTGTACAAATTCTATTTAATTATTTTGCAACAAATGTTTGGAATAACGTTTTTGCAGCAACATTCAGTATCTGTCACTATCCTTTAATTCTGTGCACTTTTATTTCGGCACCACAAATTTTTCAACCTGGCTAACAATACATAATGATGTTCTACTATAACCTTGAAAGACTTTAAAAGCATTTTTGATAAACAGCATCAATTTATTTAAAACTTTCCAACGCTTTTAAAATGTATCTGAATCATGTTTAATGGAAGGAAGAAGGGGAGCAGGTAAACAGAAAATAAAAATATTTTTTAAAAAAAACCTACCTTAGATTCTGATATTTTAGGATCTGTGACAGAATCAGATAAACCAGTTGCTATTTCATTAATTTCACTACAACTCTGAGCTTTAAAGTTTTGAGCCCATTCATTGCCTAAGGGACGCTGATTTCTGCAAGATAAATAAATAAGAATTTAAACATCATAAAACTTTTAATACTGACAAACATTTGTTATAAAGAGTTATAGTGCATTTGAAATGGTCAATTTTAAGCAATGCTGGGTTAGTCTGGTTTTGTTTCTTTGATTACGGTAAAGGACATCAGAGCTATCTGCTTAAGAGAAAGGATGCCTTTGTGAAAAAATGTGGAAATTCGCAAAAACACCCATACAGCCAACCCATTCACCTGAAATCAAACCCAAGTTAAATTATAAGTTTAGTGACTTTACTGCACAGTTGCTACCAGTAATGCTGGAAATAACCACTGAATTACTAGTATGCAGCCACTAATATTGCATGAATATCATATACTTGGTAACTTGTGATTGATAAACTGTGCTGTTCAATTGGCTAGGCATTACAGTATTGTGTTTATATTGAGCTATCAAAGTAAATTATGGATTTTAAGACACTTCAGGTAATTTTTCTTTGAATTCAACCTAGGTAGCATTCTAAAATGGATAATACTAATCATCACAATCTGATAAATGCTAAATAAATGCATCATCCACAGCTGGTTTGAAATGTTTTGTGCAGGCAACATCACTTGCAAATGAACCATATGGACATTGACCATAATCTTATGCAAATACTCTTATAAGGCAAACTGTGGAAGCTAATCCCCCAAAATTGCCCTTAGGATAGTTGAGAAATTTAATATCTATTATTGATACTAATTGCACTGTACTTTGACACATGGCTGTAACAGACAAGATACGGTGGACAAGTCAGATACATTGGTATTCTACAATCTTAATCGCATGAACAAGGCATGTTAAGTAGGAAGTTTAACTCCCTCACACTGAGGAAGAATAGGGAGAGAATTTGCTTTGAATTGTTAGCTGCAACAAGAAAGGCCTAGGGAAAAAAAATGTCCCTGGTCAATTAAGTCTTTGTATGTGAAGGAGCATTTATAGTGCTTCCCAAATTCACCCCTCCACCCTAAGAAAGTATTCTTATTGTGTGGTAATGTTATTCTATTATCATTTACCATGTCTTTCTCACATATAGTGAAACAATATAATAAAACAAATTTACCTGAAGTAGCTAATCAAGAGACATAATATCCTTATGCAACAAGACACTCGTTCCCATATATCATAAAATATCCAGCTAATATCACATTAGGCCACATAACCCTTGCTTACCAACCATATTCACAAAATCTATGGCTGAACAAGAAATGATAGCAACAACCGAAATCCCTATTAATACAGTACAAATCCGAGATCCGGACGTCCAATGTCTGGAATGATCGAAAATACGGTCCTCAAAGTCACCAACAGTCTTTTCTTTAGGAAATTTTTTTAATGTTTTACGCATACGCATTTGATTTTTTTCACTCCATAATAAAACATCAGGAGAGTCTTGATTCTTAATTTCACTTTGGCACCGAATAAAATACAATGTTACTGAAGAAATGATCATTTTAGCATAAATTTGTGTGATCAATAATTTAGCCTGCTTGGCATACATCTCAAACCAAAACATTCTCCATAGAAACATCATTGATTTTACACCTATCAATATGGTATATCCCTGACGCCATCATTCCAAACCATTATTTATTATAATTTGGTTTCATAACTACATGTTTATTAACACATGACAACTTGAGTAAAACTCATACAGCAATGCCTAAACAATTTTTTTTAATTAGTAATTGAATAACAAAGAGTATACAAACCTTTTACATTGACATTACGCTTGGCTATGATTACAGTTTAAATTAAATGCGCTAAATGTTGACGAGGAAAAATCTAACAAAAATTTCTTTCCATATGCTCAAAATAGATTTTGTTAATGATGCTCATATGCCAAAAGATGACACTTGGTGTTATTTGAATTATGAATAACTGATTTTCCTATTCACATAAACTCAGAACCCAAGCCAGAGCTCGTTCGGCCTCAGCAGACAGCAGAATTTAAGGAACACAAAATTTTTGGAATTAAGAGAAGCACTTTGTAACAAAATTAAGAGATCATAAAATTTTTAGAACTTAGGGAAAGCACTGGGACCCAAACTTAAGGGTCGGCAAAAATTTAGAACTTACGAAGGCTCTTGGTAGCAGAATTTAGGACTCGCAGTGACAGCATCAGGAGCCAAAATATCTAGCGCCAGCCTTCAGTAAGCTTAAGTATATGAGGGACTTTATTTATTCAGAATTCAGCCTTAAGCATGTGCAAGAAATAGACGTTAATATAATAAATAACTAAAATAATACAATTTTAGGCTTAATTGTCTCAGTGTATGATAGAAGCAAGACAAAGTTTAGCGGAACAACTTGTCTTTCGTCGACAATTTCATGATACAAAGCCAATAATGTATAGTGGACGTGTTAAGCTAGGCTAAAATTACACTTAACTGATTCTAAGAAATTTCAGTTAATATAGCTGATTGCGCTGCTCCTTAACTTTCTGATTTGATCCACCTTGTTATTTTTTGCAGGCTGTCATTATTACAGCAATTTTATGAAAACTAAAGTTTGAACTTCCACTTACGTAAAAGAGTTTCTAATTCTGGAGCTATTCTAACAAGACATACAAAGGGAAGACTTTGATGTGCATTAAACAAAAAGTAGAACTGCTACAAAAAATGGAAAATAATATGACATAAGAAAATATACATGATATAAGAAAACAGGAAAAGGAACTTTTTCAATTTTTTGTGGATTCCGATATCCCGCTTACAATGAATAATGGAAAAATTATTCGTTATACTAGAAGTTACGATCGTGACAAAGTGATGCTTGGCATAATTTATGGCCAAATATCATATTTCATGGTGAGGATGATGAAAATGATAGCTGTAAATTTGGAGGTTTTCAGATATTGCAAACCAAAGATAAAATTTTCCAATTAATGGATTTTGTAAAGAAATGTGGAGAAGCGGTAATAAATGAATATGATATAACAAATTTTTCATTGCGATGACTATGTCCCAATCATCAGTCAATTCATGGATGGCAAAATCTGTAGTATGATTCAAAATCCAGAAAATACCGCTACCGATAGTAAAGAAAGTGACAGAGAGGTGATTGTAAATGTAAAAATTTGATTTCTAAGTTATTTGAATTCTTGACACAGCAATTACAGGAATTTAACAATGGAACTTTATGACTGGGCAAGAAATTATGTCTACAGAATTAAAGAGAAAGTATTAGCATAAAAAACAAACTCAAAACAGCTTACATTGAAAGAAATGTTTAATAATGTAAAGAAATAAATATTAAGCTTTTTTTCCCTCTGTAAATTTTGATACCCTTTAAATCATAAATGCTTCATTATTTCGTATTTTTAATTTTATAACTTCTACATGCCATCTTAATAGATATAAACAGATGATCTAATATCTGGAAAAACCCCAAATCCGGAAACACTTAAGTCCCAACGAGTCCGGATCTCGGACATCCTACTGTAATTACTTATAAATGCCAAATCTGAAAGGAGGAATTCACATAAAAAGAGAGAATAAGGCTAAAATCTTACTGTATATCTTGCTCAGATGTTATCAAAAATTCATCACCCCATTTATTATCGAAAGACTCAGAATCTAAAGCATTTAATCTATTGTTTTCATACGCAAGATTATGTGAATCTGAATAAATTTGCCTCCAGACGTTTTCACCAGAAAAATCTTCAACTTTTTCACCTGGAAATAAAAAAAATTTGTAGAAAACTTTCAGAAAAGATTAGAAAATGACAACTTTCACATTTTCTCAATAATCATTGATAAAAATAATAAAATTCATATAACAACCTCAATAATTACTCTAAAAATCAAATATTTTGCTCATCATAATTATCATAGTCTATATCAATTTGTTTTCAATTTTTTTTTTTTTTTTTTTTTTTTTTTTTTTTTTTCAGGGCTTAAATTTTAAAAATAAGTTGTAATATAAACAGGATACTTAATAGCACACAGAACATAAAACAGTGATTAAAAAAGGCCAAGACAAACGCAGTATGATTTAGAAATAAACGCAGTAAGAAATAAAAATTTTAAATTAAAACATAAAATTAATGAAGCAGGAAAGGAAAGCAATTAATTGTGAGATATAGCTCATATTGAAAATATATACAAAACATCATCTCTTTTATTATACATATTAATATTCATTATACATAACTTGAAGGTAGATTTTTTTTTAACAGAGTGTGTGTGTGTGTGGGATTATGGCAAAGCCTAGAGGGCTATCTGCCTAAGGGGAGGGATGCCTTCGTGGAGGACTTTCTAAGGGAAACTGGCTCGTATACACGTTACACATGGGGAAAACCACGAAAACGCCCATGCAGCCAGCCCGTTCGCGGGATTCGAACCTCGGACCGAACTACCAGTGTTCAGCGACTTTACCGCTCGGCCGCTGGTGGGCTTTTTTTAACAGAATATACTTCTACAAAACAACTTCATGACATAGTTTCATACAGTTATACTCAATTAGTTAGCTGGTTCGTTGGTGGGTATCCTGAAGCATAACCTGACCAGAGTGTAGGCAAAAAATGTATGGTTATGTCTGTGCTCTCATTTAGAATCAGCATAAAAATCATAAATCTCACAGCAATATTATGTTGATAAAATTTTATGAGGGGAGAGTGAAACATTAGAATCATAAAAGCAATAAAATAATGGACTATTGTATATTTATTAATGTAATGAAATAATTCCAATGACAAGATGGATAAAGAAATATAAAACCAGGTAAACTCTCATATTGTTAAGAGTAATATTTTACATTCAATTCAGATTAAGTGATAAAGCCCAATCTTTCTTAAGAACTAAAAGAGATTAAAACTAATAATTTTAGTTGTAATTAAAAGGTAAAGACTGAGATGAGAACTATTAAAATTCTTCACATGAGGTCTTGCCAAAAATAAGCATTTTAGCAAAATGTGATTGATGCATCAAATGAATAATACTACAATTCGAAAATTCAGCTTCACTCTCGGCTTTTAACCCTCTCGCTACGTATCCTGCGGTTTCCACAGGCAATGTAGAAGTAGTAAAATTTGCGCAACCTGCAGTTTTCATGGGGATGCATTTGTACTGTTCCGTTATCAGGAATGGGTTAAGAAACGTATATGTGTATGCATACATGTATGTGTTCATGTAAGCATGTATACATATACAAGTACAAATGTATCTGTGTATATACATACATGCACATACATAACAAACACAAATTCATATATTCAGACATTTCTGAAGCCGGTCCCAATAACAGGAAAACCATGTATTTTATTTCTTTCTTTTTTTTTTTTTTTTTTTTTTTTTTTTTTTTTTTTTTTTTTTTTTTTTCTTCTGTCTACTTAACTGTGCAACCTGCTCTTTTCCTATTCGTGGTTTCATTTCAGCTTTTCTGTAATGTTTAATTGTTTATTCAGATCTGGGTTAACATGATGGCATTATCTGTCCATATTTCTGCGAATATACAAGCATGATTTGCAACATTTTGTGTGTTCTTCTCAAAGCTCAAAGATGTCTGTAGTTCAACTCTCAATCCCATGAGACTAATTGCTCAACATTTTGCTGCCCGTATACCCCCAATTGCATTAAGAAACAACCTTGTACACAGTGTTTGTTGCTAAAAAGGGTCTGAAACTGTCAAAAAGATTTGCAAAGAAACGCTAATTTGGTACAAAGATTGCAAAGGTAAGACTCTGCCTTGAGCTTTGTTTCGAAGTTTATCATAGTAAACTTCATTTCTAATAAATATTTTGTACGTATTTTGATTATTTTTAATAGTATATACATTTTACCTTTGTATTTCATAAAATTTAACCATGAATAATTTTCAAAATTTTGATTTCACATAATTATTCTTCAATTTCAATTTTTTAACAACCTTTTTTATAATCCAAATATATATTGAGGGGGGGACTCTTTTACAAAAAAACTTTTTTTTGTATTTTAACTCTAAAATATGTGTAGATTTTAAATATATAATAAAAACATGCAATTTTTGAACCTATTTTGATAAAAAAATTATGCAGCGAGAGGGTTAATGGTTAACTGTGTGTAACTCAGTGACAGATTCTAAGATGAGTTAAAAGGGCCTTCTCCTTCCAACTTCTCTTCACCTACTACTACTCTACTCTAGCCATTATGCTTCTTAATCAATTATTTACTTGCAAGTTCTATTAGTCATTGCCAAGACTTGATTACTATTTTAATCTCTCAAAAAAAGAAAATTACAAACAAACAAAACAAACAAAACAAAAAAAAAAAAAAAAAAGATTAAAAAAAATCTGAACTGTTTCAGATTTTAAATTACGTACAAAGAGGCTTTTTTTTTTAACATTTTATGTGTTACCTTTATTTAGTTAATATCATGTTCTTCGCACTTAAACCATAAAATTTAGTTCAAGAGCTTTATCGAAAAATAATTTTAAATTGAGCATTTCTTTAGAATTTCAGATACAAAGTCTCACGCACTGGAGATAAAAATGTTTTTTCTGTACTACAAACATTGCCATTTCTCATTTGTTAATCAAAAATTCGTTGAGGTTTTAAAAAATATGTAATCGATAATAAAACAAATTCCAAATTTGGGCTTTCAGATGCCCATATTTGCAGTAGGATTACGTCATTCAAAATTGGATGGCTCTAAATACCATTGTTTTATCACAATGCTAGGAACATGATTTATGCAGATTGTTCATTATTTAATTTCTTCAAATATAATGTAGGGCAATAATATTTGGTGGCAATAGCTTGAAAAGCGATACAGCCATTTATAGAGTTTCAATGCAAAATCGCAAAACGAAAACAATAGTCCCTCAGGGACAAAGCCCCTTTGGACTAAAAAAAGGACCAACTGGAGAATTTCATAGCAGACTTTACTATAAGGTCTGGCAGCTCATTACTTTTTATCTTTACCCATCACAGAATCTAATAGTAGAGAATTTGGTACCCACATCTCTAAGTTTAGATATTATTGAACAAATTCTGCAGCAACAGAATTTTGGGTCTCAGAAAAAAATGTTTTAAAGCTTTCAGTGTACTAAGCGAATCAGCCCACATTATGCACTTTCTCCTATTAAATACACAGTAAGCATCATGCAGGCCTCGAATCACAAATGACACTCCAACATGACAAACTGTTTTTGAACCACCTGTGTACATTGATTGAAATGCAACTACCATATTTATATCTGTGCTTAATAAAATATTACTTATATATTATCTCATTAATTTTTCTTTTATCAAGATAATGGAAAATACACAGGAGCTGAAATTCTCAGTTATCCTGAGGCAGGATTTCAAGATGTTTTATGGTTTGGATCTTCAAATCAGAAGACATGTATTTTTCTGTCAGTGGCTGTGTTCCTTTATTACTGAGGGAACAGAGGAACACAGACAGGCTATACTGCAAATAATAGGTTTAACAGTCATCAAGCATACAGAGACTAGGATGGTAAGGTTGCGACATCATACTAAAAAAGTGTTGAAGAAATATCTGTTCATGTCTTCATTAAAATGATGATTCTAAGCAACAAGCATACATGGGAGATGATTTGAAAAATCAAGATCAAATATACAGAGCCTGATGATGAACAGAATCTAGTTTCAACAAAACACAAGACTGCACCATTCCATAAATGACAGCCATAAATTAGAACAATGAGTACCATATAAATGTGGAACAACAAATCATGCTCTGCACCTCAGGAGGAAAGTAAAGCAAGATTGTAAAGAGGGAGAAAGGCAGTCAATGACTTTGGCCAGGCTAGATAATGTCAGGCCAGGACTTTCAGAAGATTTAAGAATATTTTTTCTTCAAGTAAAGGAAAAGTGCAAGGAAAACCAGCTTTTGTTCAAACATCATTTTTAAGAACTTCACTTCAGATGCAACTGGAATGACCCTTCAAGGTGAATCTCAGGATGAAGATTTCACTTTCTGAAAAAAATGCCCGATAGCAGTTTTTCATTTTGAAAACAAAAATTCATGTTCTTTGACCATACCTGAATCCTGTTAAAAATTATATGCAATTATCTCTCAGCAATACTACATATCTGGACTCTAGCATCTTATATGGAGGTCATCAACATACGTAGGTTGATCCAAAAAAAAAGTTTACAAGCAGAAGCATTTGAAATGTAATAATTGTGGAGTGAATATTTCCACCCAGGATGGTTGACAGATGGCGCTAGTTGTCCTACAGTGGTTCTACGAGTAAGTAGCGTCAGTACGCAGACACTTAAGAGCGACAGTAATGGCATGTGACGTCTAGAAAAGTGGTCTCGCATAGAGGTGCAAGCTGTAATTCGATTCTTATGGGCTAAGAATGTGGCTGCATCCGAAATTCACAGACAAATCGTTGAGGTATATGGAGACAAAAGTAGCAAAATGGTGTCATTCTTATTAAGCGGGCAGGGAGCATGTGGAAAACTGCAATATACAAGCGAGCAGCCATCCAAGTTCTTCAAAAACGGATATCAACATGGCACGTGTTGAAGAAATCATCCAAAGGGATCGACGAGTAACCGTGCGTGAGATTGCCTCACAATTGGACCTGAGTTATGGTAACGTTCAACGTATCGTAACCAATGAGTTGCGATATTCCAAAGTTTGTGCCTGCTGGGTGCCACGTGCATTGTCTGCGGAGCATAAGGCCACTCTAATGATGTGCAGCCTCACATTTCTTCAGCGA